TAGGATTTGTGAGAGTTTGGAAATCAAGTCTACCATTTTTGGGGCATTGATCTGTAACAAAGCCGTAGTAATAAAATCTGAGTCTCCAATGGAGGGAATTTCTATAAAGTCCAAGAAGGAGTGCAATCGGGTGGGAGGAGAGGCCTGAGGGGGAGACAGAGCAGGCTGCTCCCGGTAGGAAGAGGAGTCTCTAGGAGGGAGCCAAGAGCAGAAGCGGGGCTGAGAGGACAGGGTCACACAGGCCCAGGCAGGCTTAAGGGAGCTGCAGGGAGGAGCCAAGAGAGCAGGGCTGCAAAGCATCACAGATGCCAGAAAAGGGAGAAGTCGTGGGAGCAAGGAAAGGACCGCAGGGGCCGGGCAGGACGGCGGCAGAGAGATCGCAGAGAGGGGATCACGGGCGCTGGGCAGGACAGGGGCAGAGAGATCGCAGAGTGGGGACCGCAGGGGCTGGGCAGGACGGCAGCAGAGAGATCGCAGAGTCGGGCAGCAGGCGGGACCACAGCTCCTAGGGGGAAAAGTCGTGGACACTTGCACAGGTACAATGAGAGATAGAGCAAGCAGCTCCGAGTGGGAGGAAGCAAGAAGAGGGGTCTCAGGCTGCCTCAGGCAGACTGCAGCTCCCGGGGGAGGCCAAGGAAAGCGAGCTGAACTGAGGTGGATCCATGTTGTGACAAGAATTTCCATCCAGGGTGTCCCCAAGCAGAATGGGAAACTTGTCAGGAAAATGTTCCAAATCACAGAGGAAAGTCACCCCTTGTCGTTATTGGAGCCCAGTGAGGGGAGAGGAGCTTCCTGGCGGTCTTTGTCATGATAGGAGACACCGCAGGCAGCTTGGGGTGGCACTTACCTTAGAGAGATGAACGAGCAGGGAGAAGGGAGACGCTAAGTATCTTTAGTAGAGACCCAGGTGGATGTAGCAGACCAGAGCTGAGAGATGTGAGGCGAGTGCCCAGGTGGGTGGGTGCCCATCCCAGGGATGTAGAGGGCTCTAGGAGTCAGAGATCCATTTATGGCGTAGACAGGGAGAGGCATGGTTAGAGCATGGGGGGTGGGGGAGAAGTAGTGAGAAGGCAGACTGTAGATGTGGGGTCAGATTTGATGGGTGACAGGAGTCAGCGGAAACAAATGACCCGTACATAGCTTAGGAGAGTCAGGTCAGCAGTCTGGTTCAGAGCAGCCGAGTTCCTTGGAAGGGAGCTCATGTATGTCAGTCCCGGCTTTTGGTACCAGATGAATGAAAATAAAGAAAGAAAAGGAAGGATGTGACTGTTCCTAGGTATGGTGGAGGAGAAGGTTAATTGTAGGTAAAAGGGGGAACATAGACCAGAGGCAGGAACATCTGGGAGAGTCCAGAGTAAACATAACCCTGAGCCTGGCCATGTCAAGGAAGGGGAGAGGAGAGAGCCACCAACCAAGAGGGGTAGCCTGGGCCAGAGACTGGCCAAGAGGGTAAAGGGTAGACCAAAAGGCCAGGTAACCAAAATGTCTGGATTATATATAGGGAAGAGCTGCTGGGGAAGGGCAGCCCAGCCCCTGAACTGAAGATGATTAGGGTAGGGGCCGGAGTATGCCAGCCACATCCTATAACAGGTAGGGACTGAGGGATGCTGGGAGAATCTGGTGGCCAGGTTCACTTTGATATGTTAATGGGTACCTCAGCCATTTTCCTGCGTTTGAAAACTAACAAAATCAATTTTTATGTGTGTGGGGGGCAGGGGGAGAACAACATCAAATGTTCCAGTCAGAGGACAGTCTGCAAGATAGCTCTCCTTTGAGTTTCCAAGGGGGAAACATGCACACATCAGATACACAGAGGATGTATCAGTCATCTGGGATGAGGTTTGCTGTAGTAACAAGCAGCCCCATGTATCCACGAAGGGACTGATTTCTCACTCAGGCTGCATGTCCTACTCAGTGGTCCTCCCATGCCTCTCTCTATTCTTGTTGGCCAAGCTAACGCACAGCCTTCTTCCAAGACACTTCAGAGCGAAGGAGAATTTGCCATGGTCTAGCCCTTAGTAGACCTTCCCAGAGTGACTGTATGGTTTTCTCCAAGGACATACAAACCCCCAGGTAGTACAGCAAAGACAAATCAAAGAATGCCACCCAGGTAGAATTGTCCGGGGTCACCTACGGACACAGTTGACTTAACAACACATCAGCATCGTGGGAGCTGGGTCCATTCTCAGAACTCCCTACAGTTTGCAGGCAGCTATATGGAGACGTCTTTTCTCCAGCCGTTCTTGGCTACCTGTGTAACATTGTGGAGGGGCCTCCTGAGTATAACTTCGGGAGCTCCCTCGGTCATGTGAGTTCCCTGAGCGTCATGAGCCTTGTGAGCCTTCCTCGAGTTCTCACAGGAGAGAGCTACACACAACCACACCCCTTCCTCTGGCCCTTACGGTTTTCCTGCCTTCTCTTCACCAGTGTTCTCCGAGCCACTAATCTGGTGATATAGACAGTTGTTTTCCTCCACTTACAGCTGAGTGTTGGAACACTTTACCACAAAAAGCTACGTAATTCTCTAACATTAGACCAGTTTTGAGTCTTGGTCATAACCACCACTTATTTAAAAAAAAAAAAAAGTGTCCTTCCACAGCCCAACGTGTCAACAGCAGTGTCTGGGCATGAAGCACAGATGTTCAGAGGACAGTATGACAGACACATCACTTCTGTTTATTGAAACAGTGGCAGTGGACTGTCCACTGGCTTGTGACTTCACGTATTTGTGTCCTGGCTTGCAGTACCACAGGAGGCCCTTTCCGGCAAAGCAGGCCTTCAGTCCAATCAGACAGCAGTCGGTGGCACCCATGACAGTTGTCCCGTTATTGTACGGTGAGCACATCTTGCCGAGTATGGTGGTACTGTAGCATGTGGGGCCCACAGCTGAATAGGACCCTTGGGGACAGTCCTCCCTCAGCCACCTACATCACTCTTTCCAGTACTACAGAGAACAGCCAGCAGTAGGAAGAGGAATTTCAGTCATCCCCAGCTTTATTTCTCCGTGTCTGAAACCACAGCACACAGGGGCTTACTATTTCTGGGATGCAACCGAGAGCAGTAACAATGGTCTTTACGGTCTGTGGGGCCTCAGGGACTCACGGGGAGGGAGCTTAGCCCTGGCCCTCAGGTGCTCATTCTGCAAGTTCAGGCCCCTGGGAATGCCTTTCCCACCCGTTCACCCAGGTTCAGACCCGCTCCCTGCTCAGCAGGTGCTTCCCGGGTCTGCAGGACACTTGGGTTAGCATTATATACTGCGACCTAGCTGTGAGCGTGGCCAGGATCCCCGACCATCCGCTGCCGTCTATGCCAAGCAAGTGCCCGTTGTTCGTGAGCTCCAGAGGCTAAGGGAACACTGTAAGAAAATACTGGTGAGGGCCGCCCCAGCGTGCAGAAGAGTGGCGCTGGGCAGAGCTTGAGTAGGAGAAGCTGCTGGACTCAGTTTGTGAACTGTGCCGTCTCCTCACCTCGGGGACCTGCTGGGCTGCGGTGGGTCTTCCTACTTACCACGGGTTCAGTGGCCCGGAGGTGCGTGCAAGAGGAGTGTCCTCTCAGCTGCACCCTTGCTGCCAGAGCCAGCTCCCTGGTTCCAACCGGGACACCAACACTCGACCTCTCCTTCAGCCGCACCCAGCTAACGGGCCCCAGGCTACTCGAACAGTCTCGACCCTCGCGTCTGCGTTCTTGCATGGGAGAACTGAACTCTGAGGGGTGGCTGCCTGTCCTGGGGACGTGCTTGGTCTTCCCACCCACACTGCTCTGGTGCTCACACCCTCCTCCCTTCAGTGAACTGTGGCTCAGGGTGGGGCTCACAAGCACTGAATCTGGCTTCTTCACTTGTCCTTCAGAACTCGATCTCAGTACATGTCTTCCCAAATTTGGCTTCAGGTGAGGCAGCCGGGCCCTTCTGTCTGCCTTTCTCTGTCTCAGTTGCTTTGGTGCTTTGCAAACCCGATTTACATGGTCCTGTGAGTCCATTAGGATATGTATGCCAGAGCCTCTCCTACCTCATAGAGATCAGTAAAACTGGGAAGCCCCGTGACAGCCGGAAGGTCCTTGATGGACCAGTGTTTTCCTTCTCTCCTGTGAACACAGTCCTGTCTGTCTAGCCGACTGAAGAAGACATCAAGCACTGTCTGTCACATACCCAGTCCTCTCAGAATGCTTGCCCCTCTGTACTGTTCTCTAGTACCTGATGTCCATGGAGACTTTAACTGGTAATAACCAAATTCCTCGTGGATTCTGCCCTCAAGCCAGTCCCTGTGGCTTCGGGCTGTGCAGCCTTTGTAGTCCTGTAGTCCAGCCTTTCTGCCTCTACAGCACCAGACAATGCCATCCTCTTGTGTGTCGCACAACCTCCCTCACACACAAGGAGAAGCAAGGGACCCAAAAGAATAGTGTAGCCGGCCATGGTGGCAGACCTATCAGCCCAGCACTCAGAAGGTGGAGCGAGAGGAACACTATTTTGAAGGCAGCACTGGCCACAGAGTGAGATCCCGTCCCAAAAGGAGAGACAGGGCATCAGGAATGTAGCTCAGGCGGTAGAGTCCTTACTTAGAGTTCTGGAAGCTCTGAGGTCCGATCCTGGCACCACAGGAGGTCATCTTGATTACATAGGCAGCTTGGAACCAGGCTGGGCTACATGAAATCCTGGAGAGAGGGAGAAAGAGGGGCAGGGAGAGAGAAAATAAAGGACCGAAGGGCAGGCTGGTCTAACTTCATTCACAGTTTTCTCAGCTGCACCTCAAGCCCAGACTCGGAGCTGGTTTTCCTCCTTCACAAACTGGTGCCTTAGATAACAGCTTGCCAGGGAGATCCCAGGAGAAGGGGGGCAGCAGTGTGGTGGCTCCCCACGTTGCCATAGGCAACAGAACTGTCAGTCTTTGTGAGGAGCCCATCTGGGGCCAGCGGAACCAGGGATCTGGGCAGCTGCCCCCGGGAGGTTGTGAGCAGATCGCTTTCCTGCCGTCACCCTTCTCATGCGCTGGCGTTTCCCACAGAGGGCCTGCATCGACTTCGCCATCAGCGCCAAGCCGCTGACCAGGCACATGCCCCAGAACAAGCAGAGCTTCCAGTACCGCATGTGGCAGTTCGTGGTGTCCCCACCCTTTGAGTACACCATCATGGCCATGATCGCTCTCAACACCATCGTGCTGATGATGAAGGTGAGCCCCCCCCCCCAAGGAAGGCCCTCGCATAGCGTCCCAGCCAGACCACACCGGCCACCACTGAGCCTTCCCTGCTGTTCCCTCGTCTGCCATGCCGTCCCCACCACACTGCTTGGCCAGCTCCTTCCTTCCTCCTGGAAGCCTTAAACTAAGTCAGGAGCTGGCCTCTGCAGTTCTCTGGTATTGCCCTCACGTGCCTCAGTCTCACCGCGGCTGCCCACACTGTGGTCCCACCAGTCTCGGATCTTCGGGAAGTAGATGTCTAGCTCCCTAGGGCTCAGCGGGGGTCTCGTGGAGAGGAGTGGACACCCTCCTCAAATGTGTGCTGGGTGGAACATGGGAACAGGTCGGAGATGGGGGCTTCTGGAGCATCAGGGCTCTCAGACCCTCAGTGGGGGTTCTAGGCAGGGCACCCCCTCTGAGCCATGCTCCCAGCCCTCACTGAGAGATCCTAGGCCATCACTGTACCACGGAGGCCACACCCCCAGGCCTTCCTCTCTCTTTTTAAAACGGTTTGTATTATTTGACTAGTAGAGCAATGGAGGTCACCAAAAACAGTAATGGTGCCAGGCAGGGACTCAGCACAGCACCTGCCTGTCACCCCAGCTGTCAGCAGCGGAGACGGGAGGGTCACAAATACAAGACCAACATGGACAATTTAGTAAAACCCTGTCTCAAAATTAAACTATAAAGAGTTGGCAAGACGGCTCAGTAATTAAGGTACCTGCACCAGACCTGTGACCCGAGTTCAGTCCCCAGGACCCACACGGGGAGGAGAACTGACTCCTGCAAGCTGACCTCTGACCTCCACACGTGTGCTGTGTTCATTCACACAGAATATCGAAATAATATGCAATTAAAATTTTAAAAATAACGAAGACTGAGCACTTGCTTCGCACACATTAGGTCGTAGACTCCATTGCTAGCACCAAAGAATAAATGCCCAGCGGAGTGCTCTAGATGCTCAGTGGCTAAGAGGCACAGCTGCCCTCCCGGGGACCTGAGTGTGGTTCCCATTTCCTGGGCAGGGCAGCTCACAACTGCCTGTAGCTCCAGCTCTACAGGACCCACAAGCTTTCTGGATGCCTACAGGCATTCACACACACACAACACACACATATAAACATCTATGCCCATAGACACACACACACATATAAACATATATACCCATAGACACATATATAAACATAT